GAGCTTGACCAGGCTCAACTGTTTCAAACCTCTAACGCGAAGTTCGATAAAAGTTCGGCTGAAATTCGACGCTTTGTGCGCATGCGCGACAATTAAAAAAAAAAAAACATGCCGACGCCACTTGACGGAGATAAAGTTCAGTATGTGTTGGGTATATTGTTTAACTGCTTTACATTAATAAACAAGCCAAAGCATGTAAAGTATGCATTTTTGCTCTTATTTTATGTAAGCATTGGTAATCATTTTATCAAATATAAAAAAACTGCTTTATAGGGCTTTTTTTTTTTTTCTTCTGAAAATAAAGAAATTATTTATAAAAGTCGAACAGCACTGTCTATTCGCGACTCCAGCAAAACGGACGCCGCCAAGCGGGAAAACCGGGAACCAGCCGGTCCAGGTCGCTCCGCGCCCCTCCGCGTCTCTGGTGGCTTTCGCGGACACCTGTTGTCGGCGCGGTGGCGAACAATGTAAATTAACGAAAATCCGATTTTTTTTTCTTTTTAAGGTTTCCTGAGTGTACATTAAGTTGGTGAAACCTCAGTAGTTTGCCTCCTTCCATCAGGTGTTTGAAAGCCCGTTTACTCCACAACACACGGTCGTGTGCTTTCGATTTCTTGGGTGGAAAGGAATCACGGAAAAACGTTTTGATTTCTTGTCTGTCTTGAATCACATTCAAAGTGACGACTACTTGGTAATTGATAAGTGTTTCTTTATAAGGATGTAGAACAGTGGACTAAGGACGACAGACGAGATGTTTCATTGGAGGGGAACACCAATGTTGCAGTCAATTGAATGGGAAGGTTCAATAGCTGCTTTTCTTAAGTTTGGTTGTGCTCGATTAGCTCCAAGTTTAAGCCACCCACGCCGGCCGGTGCGTTGGCTATTCATGTTGGCTGCTTTTCGCCGAAAAAGCCTCTGGACCACATTGAAGGCGTTGGGCGAATTTCGCAATTACTTTATTTAGGAAAACCTGCTCGCTGCATATGATTATTGAGGAAATTATCTGCTTTCAAAAGGTGGGGGACGCGTCTCGCAAAGTTAGAAGCTGCCACGGCATTAGGATCTATCGCGCCTCCAATATTTACATTATACCCCCGTCGAAGCCACAGCAATATACGTCTACGTTGCTCAGGTTGACCGGCCACAAAAAAATACTAATTTTATCCGTTCAGGATTCGAAGTCAAGTTCAATGCAGAGAGGTTCTGCGTGAATCTCCGATGAAGACTCTCCTCAGTTTGTCCGCATTTGTCTCCGTGCTGCCGGCTAGAACCATTTGGCTATGTTTAAGCATAGTATCTCTCTGTCTGTCTAATATACTTTTATTCAGCAGGTCACCTGATAGCTAGTCAACTAAGTTCATATTTCAGTTAGAAGTATATACTAATATCGCTTTAGCGGGACCATAGTACGTAATAAAATACATAACCCACTCGTCAAAATGACTTGATTCCTACTAAAACCTTAATTGAAATACGAGTATCAGCTGCTTACTGAAGAGCCAGCGAGTTAACATGCCCCTTAGCCCAAGAAGCGCGTGCTTAATTTTCGTAATTTTCCTGCAGCCTGTGTTGTTGACCGAGCAGACGACTGGAGCTGTTTCTTAAATGCGGATACGCACAAAAGCTCGATTTCTCGGACAGATAAGTAGCATGGTCGAGGCATGCGAGCTAGCTAAAAATTAATCTAGGTGGAACAATTCTGTAGCCATCGCCGCTTTCCTTAGATGATCAAAACTCATTAGAGTCCATTACCGTTTTTCCGGAGCCCATAGTTTCGGTTTTGAACGAAGTCTCCGAAACGAAAGTTTGACATGAAAAGAACAAAAAAACACCGGCAAAACAAAACTATGCTCGGCAAGTTTATGTGCACCGGCTACTCTTAACCGTCTCAGTTCAAATGCCTATAAAATTCGGCATTAAACAAAAGGAAATATGTTAAATTGAATGCGCCACCGGTTCAGGCGGCCCGGCCGAGCCGACGCGACCTGGACCCAGCCGCCATGTTTGTTTGGTGGTGGCGCCCCCTATAGGTCGCTGGAGTCGCGAATAAGCCGAACTTATGGACAGGCTGAGACAGCCTGTCAATTCCTAACTTTTTGGCACAGGCTTGGAGCCTGCGTGAAACCTGAGGAAAATATGGGATGTTACCTTTGGGGGATCACGCAACACTGCCCGATCCATTCATCCGTCATTCTGACGATATCCCACACTGCCTGGAGAGAGTTACAAAAAGCTTGAAGGGGAAGGAAAATTAGCTTTGAAGGGAGAGAAAAGCAGTCATAATTTCGGTTCTTTTTTCAGTTCTAGGCTAGGTGGTGCAAGCCACCGCCCATTACAAAGGGCAAAACCGTTGACATCCATCCATCCAGCCACCCATTCATCCATCCATACATCCATTAGTCGCATTTTACCAAAAGTTAGAAGGCTCGCCGGCACCAGTCGAATCTCGTGTTCGATAAAAGTTCGCAACATTCCTGCAGTGCCAGTGTGTGCCGTTGAGTTCTCGTTCACATTTCCTGACCTTTGTGAGTAGAACGACTGAACTTCGAAGACCCTTTTTTCTAGAAAGCGGTAAAGCGTATTTTATGTTTTTTTTTTATATTAAACAATTTATTATTTTTTAATATGTGGAAAAACGCTCAAAGCTGTGTTTTACTGATCAGCATATAGAGAAACCTCGCGCTCAAAAATGCGTAGTCACAATAATAACGTAGGCTACATAACGCCTAATCAACAATATTTTTTCATTTTTTTTTTCAGAAAACTGACAAAAGCTTCAGTATTTCTCGTGGGAATCTGGGCGCCATTACCGCGAACAGATATTATATAGGGAGATATGAAAGCTTTTCCGATAAAGGAACCACGCTTTCACGGAATAATGCAACGCAGCGCGATAGGGCATTGTAAAACGCATTACAGTGACAAAACAAGTGTATACCCACCAGCAACTGGCTATTCAAATTGTCATTAGATATGTGGTTCCTCAGTCGAGCTATGTCGGCTCTAGAAAAGTGTTCCAGAACGTAGCTGTAATGCTTTTGAACTGACTTTCTTGGAGTGAGGAAACAGAATGAACTCTGAGTTTAGGAAAGGATATGCTGCACTTTGACGTCATTGCAATTACACCAATCCTGGTTTCCGCTCTAAAGCCCGGGTCACGCTGCTTATACATCATACAAAAGACAGTCTGCCAGACATCATTCACCGCAATATCCCTCGTTCGAATGCCGCATGCAATTTTCTCCTCGAACTCCTTGCCATGCGGCATTCGAAGCAAGGATCTCGCGGTAACTTGCGTTGGGCAGTGGAGGTTTACAGCAGAGAATCCGATGCTAAAAATAAACTAAAATAATACAAACTCTAACTTTAAAAAAAAAAAAAAAACATAAAGAGTGACACATTTTTAACGCTTTCGTTCTTTTAAATGTAAATTTCCAGTGAGTGCTTAGTTCACGTAAAACGAAAAAAAAAAAAAAAGGATATTGTAAATTGTTTGTATATTCAAAGTATGGTTTACGTGCTGCCGACGTGCTATAGGGCGTGTGCGATCTGAAGGATGCAGCAGCTTATCTCAGAACCTCGAACCTTCGTACCTGCCAAGTCGCTCGCTCCTTATGCTAGAGGACAATGAAGAGCAAGGTGACGTGTCCCAGCGCGTGTGATGTCACTACCGATATATCGACCCCTTCGGCCGTCGAAAAAACAATATGCCGGCCCATCAACACACACACACACACTCCAAGACATGAGTGTGTTTTTGGCACAGGGTATTAGCTCGCGAGGGACACATTTAGTTGTTTGTAAACAGCACAGCGTTGATACTGAGTCATAGTAAAAATGGCATTATTCACACTCAAGTCTCCTCGAAGCGGTTGAGCTGAATTCCTTATTCATTTATATATATATAATTGTGTATTTTGATGATGATTTCCTTACGTCATGTCCCTCATTTAAATTGTTCTTAGCTTTTTTGTATACTTTTTTTTTTTTTTGCAGAATCGGAACTATTTATATAAAAATTAATGCCCTTGTTTGAATCTACTAAATTCGCTTAAATCCCCCCCCCCCCTTTTTTTTTATGCCCCGAGTGCTTTTAGGGGAGTGGAGAGAAATGAACAAATAAATATGCAATTTCATGCTTTATATTTAGGATTCCGTGATTTGGGACTTTATTTCACGTGAAATTCGGAGGGCTTAAGACTTTATTTTTCGCTGGGGATTCGGTGTTTATCGGAGTTTGTTTTTGTTAAATTCCCGATTCATTGAAATTTGGAGTTTATTCTACTGGCTAAAATTTAAAAATTCCAAAACAAAATAGACAAGGTCCGGGTACCATGACCCGTTGTCCCGAAGGAACCTCGCGACGTGCTAAAAACCAAACCGCTTTTTGTCAGTAGTTCTAAATTTCAAAGGAAACTGAAGTGTAATCTCCTCAGGACCACTGACATTGTGCTCTTATAAAGTTTAGCTGTAAAACTCCGTCTTTTTTTGGTGTTTATTTGTTGCTGTGATCTTGACATTGGGAGTTTTGCGGATAAATCCGAATCGACGGAAAATTTACCGGCAAGTGTTTTTTTCCGATTATTTTTTTCAGGTTTATCCGAAACCACGAAACCCTATAAATTGTATTATACCACAATGAAACGGGCAATGCATTTAACAACACAAGGCAATCTTTTTTTCTCCCTCTCTTAAAAGTGAAGCGGTAATTATTAGCAGTGACGGGTCCCCTTCCTAGTTATAAAGCCCCTCAAACCAAGCTACAAGTTCAGAAAACGTACAATAACGCAATAAAATACCCTCAGAAAATAAATTTACAGGCAAACAAACGAACCCTTAGCAAATGTTGAGCACAACTCCGTAAAAATGAACCCCGTTTTCGCACACTTGATCGCGTATTCCCCGTGTCATGTCGATACAGTGTTGACAGTTGAAGTGATGCCCCACCCCTCTCCGGCAATGACCGCCAACTCCGTTCGTCAAAAGTAACCTTGGCTTACCCGCACAACTCGGACTCCAATCCTTTTTGCGCACGGCGGTATCCCACGATGCCGGCGATATTTATCCGAACGACGACCACGGCGTGGGGGGTGTGGCGGGGACAGCGTCCGTCAAACACATCACGGGTGTACGTACGAACGGGCTGGCCGAGTTCCAGCGAGGTGCACAAACGAACAACACGTATATTCACCGCCCCGCGAGCGAACGCCGGCAGCAAGCAACACACACGACGAAAGGAATCCCCCAGCGAGGCGTCGGCGTCGTCTCGTCGTCGTCGGCTCTCGCAGCCTACCGCACGCGGCAACGTGCACGGGATAACTGACTGACTGGAAACGGGAGAAGAAAAAAAAAAAAAAGAACGAACATCAAAGATGCCTTTCTCCCTCCTCCTCCTTTGAGCGCGCACCAACTTGGCCTTTTTGCTTGGCTGCCGCAGCTGCCGCGAGCCGCAGAGCAGTGATCATTGAATCACGCCGTGATGGAAAGAAGGAAGAAAACGAGAGAGAGAGAGAAAAGGTGCTAGTGCGCATGTGCGGAAGAGCCGTCGCGTAACATACGCAGCGGCGGCGGCGGCGGCGGCGGAATCGTTTGGTGCCGCTTTTGGGCAGACGACACAGACGGGAATTATCAAAGCAACGCAACATCACGCGCAACTGGAACCAGATGATCTAACTTTTTGTTGTTGTTGTTGTTAAAGGAGCGCAGAGTGGCATATGTGCGGATGAAATCAAGGTTCTACGATGTTTATCGTCATCTGAACATTTTTCTTTGAATGTTTTAACACATGCTTCGCTGCATTTGCGTGTGGTGACTTGCAAAACACTCTTGCATGGTATGGGATAATATCTTCCCTGACCAACTTACAACTCATTTTTGCCTCGAAACGAGTCCAAAGATTAGCGTGGGAGACAAATTCATTTTGAACTTCCCTTCCTCTGATGGTTGCGTTCTTCTCATTCAAACTAATTCAGCAAAATAGAAAGCAGACGGAAATGAAACTCGGAACCTCCCAGATCCAACCAAAGCGAATCACTGAGGTAACTGAAAATCCGTAAAGGTGCGATATATTGGAGTAGCATCTTCTCGCACAGGACCGCGGCATTTGCAGCGATGTAGATGTCACGTAAATAACAACAAAACGAAACACAATACCAAAAAACAAGTTTTTCTCGTCTTAGAAATAAAAAAAAAACAGAAACGTAAGTAAAGAGTTCGGCGCATACGCACACTGCTTACGGTAATATTTTTTTTTTCCGCAAAAAATAAATTACGCGTCACCGAACATCAGGAGCGATCGTCTGAAAAGTCCAAAAAGAAAATGGCTGCCGGCGGAGCTCTCGAATACATGAAGCTGAATGGGCGCCAGTTACGGAAAACGGCCGAAAACGGGCTTCATTTTCCAGCTGAAATGAAAAAAAAAAAAAAAAAAAAAAAATCGATTATAAATTTTGAATGAGATAACGGTCAGTTCTGAATCTTTAATATATGGTTGGGACTGCTAGCGCTACATTTGGCCGGAAAATGTGCGTTTGACAAAGCCCAATTTATTTTTCGGCAAAAAATGAAAAAGAAAAATTATATTTTATTTATTTGGGGCGGGGGAAAAGGGGGGGGGGGGGGCACGTTGCATTTATTTAATCTAGTTTCTCGATTTTCTCAAAAATACTGTAGAATTATCATTAAGTGGGTGCCCCAAAAACTAGTCGAGTCACACTAAACTGAAAAACCTGCGCTTAACGTTAATTGTAGATTTTAGTTGGAACCTCCACCTTGTGTCCTTATACAGGTAGTGTTTTCAAATTATACTTTTAAAGCACAAAAAAAAGTTACCTTATGACTTTTTTTTTTTTTTTCTTTTTTGCATTTCTAGAAGGGTGCGTTGCTATGAGCAACGAGATCTGAAGCCAGGAGGATATTATTCGTCCTATAAACTATCTGAAAGCGCGCAAAATAACAATGGCGTAAAGCCATTCCTCAAGGTCGCTGCACGCCAGTCCGAAATGTGTGGCAACACGATGAACGAGTGAATGGGCAGCCATGTTTGTTTGCTCGCTCAACGGTTCGGCACGCCGTTATGTAACTATACAGTGTAACTTCATTTTACTTTTTTTCCCCAAACAATAACGCAGAAGACAAAAAAACACACACACAAAAGAAACACAAACACGCTAAACTGGAGCACAAACGAAACGGGTGAATAGCTGCGAGCGTATACGTAGGTTTTGTCAGACTCCGACGCTTTACCTCCTCCTACTGCACGCCTAACAGCGTTTAGGCTAACGTGGCGAAGCATGAACGGCTGTTGTTATTTTTTTCAGCGCAGCAGACGGCCAAGCGTTCCTAGCGGACGACTTCAACACGGCGCCGTTATGAAACGCATCACCGTGCCAGACGCGTGCGATGCACTAGATTTTTTTTTTTTTTTTTTTCTGTAGCGTGAATTTTGAAGGGAGCAAAAAGTGTATTTTACACAAATACACAAACCAAGATCTGGATTCCTGCAGCCCAGGAAACTCCAGAGCGGTCCCTTCGTAAACAATGAATCCGTCTTCAATAGGAGAACACTCGTCGTGTCACGCTGGGGAAGTGTGTATACAGCAGCGCCAGATAGCAAGCGCGTAGATAAGAGGCACTGAAATAGAAGCCACCAGTCGTGTATCACGTGCGATACTCAGCGTGCGAATATGTCAAAGAACTCTGTAAAAAGAAAAAAAAAGAAGGACAGGCCAGAAACATTCCAGATTTCTCAATTTATCTGCGTTGCGTTGTTTTCGAACGCCATAACAGACAAGAGTTTACGACTTCGTCGATCCTTTTCGATTGTTCTCTCGTCCCTTTGTCATTAGAGGGGGCTAAAAAAGGACATGTTTCCCAAGAAAGCAAGTTCTTGCCCATTGTTACTTCAGTGCCCAACCCACCGGACAGCGGGTTCTAGCGTCTACATGTGTGTGCAAGATTTAGAAAGGGCTGCATCTTTACCGGATCGCTACAAATCGGAATCGGTGCAGCCGAGGGAGAGCGAGTCGTCTGCTTCCCGCGCAGGAGTGGCGGTGACGCCGAAACAACGCCGAGCTTCGATTGGCTTTGATTGAGAGGAGAGCGGGTGGACCTCAATGCTAGATTTGCCTTGACGTCTAGCCACTATTTTTATCCATTAGCCAATCAGAGCTCACCTTTGTACAAGAGGTATATATATATATATATATACAGGGTGTTTCTCGAAAGGTGGACAAATTCGATATTGCGAAAAGTACGCATCGCGCCAAAAGAAGGCTTGTGTCGTTTTGGTCCTATACTGCTTCAGAAAATTATTAAAGCTCGGATAATTAAGGTGTTAATTATTTTCGCGTATTTGTTTTAATATTGAGTTTAAGGGCATGGTTTTAAGTGGAAACTTGCTGAGCATCATCGAAAAACACTAAATAAAAGAAATTGGAGTCCGATAGAAGGCACGAGCTGCATTTTACAGCTTTCTGAAAAACAGCACAACTTCAATGAGTTTTTAAGTTTCGGTTTGCAATCGGAGCGCTTCTCGGCATCGACGGTACCGCGCCCCGTGGAGGAATAGTGCAACCAAACTCTGTTTCGCTGTCCTCACGCAACGCAGCAGAGGCAGGCTACTTATTTCTCCACGGGGCGCGGTGCCGTCGGTGCCGAGAAGCGCTCCGATTGCAAACCGAAACTTAAAAACCCGTCGATTTTGTGCGGTTTTTCAGAAAGCCCTAAAATGCTTCGCGTGCCTTCTATCGCTCTGCAATTTGTTTTATTTAGTATTTTTCTGTGATGCTCAGCAAGTTTCTAAATAAAACCATGCGCTTAAACTCAATATTTAAAAGAAATAATTACGAGAAAATAATAACAACTTAATTATCCCGAACTTCAATAATTTTCCTAAATAGGCTCCTGGCCTAGGACCAAAACGACACAAGCCTTTTTTTTCTGCGATGCCTAATTTTCGCAGCACCGAATCTGTCCACCTTTCGTGAAACACCCTGTCTATATATATATATATATATATATATATATATATATATATATATATATATATATATATAACTGACGCGCGCACTGCGTATTTTTCTCCTAACCACGCGGCTGCGCTGCGGTGAAGCCACATATACAAACGCGGTATTCAATCCGCGGGTATCGCTTCTCCGCCGTGCACCAGTGCGCAACGAGAAGAGCACTCAGCAGAGCAATCTAACCCGTCAAAACAAATCTCGAATAATGAGGTATATTCGAAACTTTCGAGTACTTTCAGTGTTCGACACGAACGTTAAATCGAGGGCACGACACCGCCACGGGAACAATATACTGTACTTACTCCTCCTCTTTGTACAGACGGTCCTGCTCGCTGCCGCCCATCACATCGGTGCGCTCGGAACCAGCGCCGCAAGCTCGACGATTGCCACGGACCACTACGGGCTACCAGTGCTGACGCTGCTTTCTGCTGAGACTGGCAGACTAATGACGCTGCAACCCACGCTCATCGAGAACCTTTACAACAACTGGCAACAACGAACGGTCACGTCAAGCCGAGTACTACAAAAGCATGAAGCATCGCTCGGCATACCAGGGCACGACACCGCCACGGGAACAATGTACTTACGCCTCCTCTTTGTACAGGTCAGTTACTTGAACCATTCTTTGGGCATCAGGAGTAGTAATCGTTTCTTAATACTGGTGTCGTGCCTAAACGACTTTGCTGTGACGCGGAAGTGCATGTCTATCCATGTTCAAGCATGCGCCAATATCTTCGTGTCACACTTGCTGTTGATGCTCTCCGGTGATGCGGAGCAGAATCCCGGTCCCCTTACTACAGCCCAGGCTGACTTACTTACTCAAATCCACGCTACTGTAACCCAGTTACAGACGGGACAGACAGACCTGGCGAAACAAATAGGGACACTCACTGAAAATCAAAAGCGTACTGACCAGTTAGTTTGCGACCTGAACGCACGAGTGAGCGCTATTGAAGAACATTTGCCAATTCCCCTGAGTGACCAGTATACCACCCAAAAAACTGAGTCCGAGCTGCAAGCAGCCCAAACAGAGCTCGCGCTATTAAAGGCGCGTTGTGTCGACGAGAACCCGTCACGCAGGTCGAACTTAGTCTTTTTTGGATTTCAAGACAAAGCGAAGGAAACATGGTCTGAATCTGAGTCACTCGTGGTCAACCTGTGCGCGAGTAAACTAAACATAGCAATCAACCCTGATAACATAGAAAAAGCACACCGTATCGGTCCTTTTAAAACTGGAAAAAACAGGCCAATCATTGCAAAATGCAATATTAACTGCAGGTATACAACTTAAATATACTGGAT